AGTTATTCCACGTTAGTAGAAAAACTTATTCAGAATTAGTTACAAATGCATATCGAGAACCATATTTTTTTGAGAGGGTTTTCAGCAACCTTAAAACACTGTAAATGATTTCTCAGGTCTCTTTGTTTTTTTATTAATCTGTTCTGTTTACTCTCATACTTTTCCATATGAGCAATGAAAATTCTGGATTAATCTGCATTCAGAATCAATCTTGCTGCAACTGTATCATGATACCTTAAAATATCTGTGTTGCTTTATGTTTTAGTTGGGTTCATTCCACAAACCAAATCCGGGATAATTAAATTCTAAAAATTATTAAACTATTTTGGCACCACTACATGCTCCTCTGATGGAAAATACTGACATTATATACAGTGATCTTACTCTTCAGCTCTCCTAAAAGTGTCTGTTATTCATCAGGAGAGCTTTGCTATCATCATACCTCCTCCTTCAGACTGAACTTTGGGATATCCTTGGTGGGAAGATCCTTTAGCCCTGATCAAGCTGTGGCTGAGCTTATTTCCTCCTTTAGGAAGTCACAGGTCTTGATTTAAAGATTTCAAGCATCCATTCTGCTTTTGTTCAGTTATCTGTCTCTGTCTCTCTCTCTCCTTTCTTATTTTTAGGCACTGAGTAGTTTGGCTGGATCTTGCTATGTTTTTGTGTCAGAGGGAAAGAAGCCATCACTAGCAATGACAAATAAGTATTTGTAGCGATCACATCACTTTCTAATTTCCTTTTAAAGAAGAGTGAGTTAATCAAACCTATAAATACGTGCAGTTTTTCCAAGCCTTGAATCATTTCCAAACCAGAAAACATTTATGCAGGTAAAAATAAACAGCAATTTGAGAAATATGCATAGGGTAAGGGGGGATGAAGAGGAGAGGAGGAGCGTAGGGTACTCACCAAATGGGCAGTGACAGTAATACCCCTCCAACCCGCTTTGGCAAGACCCACCATTGAAACAGGGGTTGCACTCACAGTAGTTGACAGTGGAGTCACACGTTTTCCCTGTGATTAGGGAATAAAAGCAATTTCCAGGTCAGAGTATTCAGGGCAATAGGGAAGTCAGGCTGGTATGTAGGTCACGAGGTTACAAACAGAACCTGAACATATGGCCAGGAGAGAAGGTTCCAAGGACTGGCTGTGGGATGGAGGGAGGGAACACAGACAGGATGCTGGGCTGGTCCCAGCCCTGGCACAGGCATAACATTTGGGCTGGAGAAATTTACCTTACTTTTTAAGTGTCTTATTGTAATTATATCATATATCATACAGGTACTGATGGCTTGTTTTTTTAACTGAATTGAATTTTCCTTTATAAGTTATTTTATTTTATTAACTGGTATCCGTAATAGAGAGATCATGAAATTAAAGGCAATGTTGAACTACCAAAATTGCAAAAATGTATCTTTTTTTTCTCCCTGTTGAATGCAACATACTCATTGGTGCAAAGGAGATACAGAGAGCCCTTGCTGGACACTGTACAAACAGGGCATGCTGAATACAGGCTGCTATTGTACATTACATGATTTTTCTTATTTTCTCCCATCAATTAAAACCTCCTTCCTGACTTGGAGGGGCAACAGTCCTCTGGAGCTAAAACAAGCTCTCCTGAACACAGTCCTTTCCTAAGCAGACATTGTCACATGTGGTAAATATTATTCCCCAGAGAATAAACTGAGATCACATAATTCATTTCAGTAAGGAAGGGAACCAAGAGAAAAAAGTGAAGATTTTAACAGATGCCGAATATGGACACAGGGATTCTTTGTACAAAACTAAAATCTTCTTTGTATGGAAACATTACCTACAAAAGTATTTGCCTTCATTTCTAAGGTTTTCATTGCTTGGCTTTGATCAACTTAGCAGCACTTCCACTGGATCCCACTCTTGGAACCTGTCTCCCTTCTGCCAGCAGTGTCTGTGCTCACCAAAAACTTCAAAATATCATCATGTTTGTCCCTCCTGTTTCACTGCAAAAACTGGCAAAACCAGCTACACTCTTCCAGACCTGTCCTTGAACTTCATCTCAACCAGCATAAATACACAGAACAAGGGCTAAGACTGCCTTATTGCATTGATAATGAATTATTTTATTTCTTACATTTTATATATATATAAATTTAAGTTAAAAGTACAACATGGGCTTGCACAGAGGGTGTCCATCCTTATATGTTACATATATATTATAATTTTACATCTCACATGGCAGGAATGCACAACATGCAGTCCTTAAGCATTGTTGGTCCCTAAAACCATAGAAAACCAAGACTGTGCTAGATGCACTCTGCTACCTTTTTCAGAATTTCACAACTTGAGCCACCTAACAAAGAAAACTTCTTTTTTTTTACCCTTTCTCTACTTTTCTGCTTAACCTACAGTTTGCAAGCAGTTCTTCTGTGTGAGCAGCAGCTCTCCATGTGTGACTGCAAGCGGGATGGAAATGGAGCGCTGGAGGATTCCTGTGGTTAATACGTAACTTGTAGATCCACCATAAATCCAGGAAACTTTTCCAGTGTCTGAATCTAATTATGCTTTGGGGGTATTTATTTATATTTTATTCTCTAATGGGCATGACTGAAGGATGAGCTAACTTTTTATGTCAGATTTTGCTGTTTTCTTTGTTTTAAAATTATGGTCCACAGTACAGCTCTTTGACTTACTGAGGAGAACACACTGCAGGAGTGAGGAAGACGTTCTTAAAATAGCTCAATGATGTTTTCACAAAAATCAAGTGTAGCTCATAAGGCTTACTCAGATTTTTGCAGTTCAATCTAAGTACTCTTCTTTTTCTCAGCTAACATTAAAGCTGACACATCTGCTGAGTCAGCAAGAGAATATGGATGTTTATTTTAGTTGCACATATTTTAACCAGTGAGTAAGAGCATCTTCTTCATGTTTAGCTATTGTTTAAAGAATTCTTGAAACCAATAAAAGTACGTTTAGAATAACAGAATTATAGAACCATAGAATGGTTTGGGTTGGAAGGGTCTTTAAAGATCATCCACTTCCTGCCTCCTGCCATGGGCAGGGACATCTTCCGCTAGATCAGGTTGCTCAGAGCTCCATCCAACCTGGCCTTGAACACTTCCAAGGAGGGGGCATCCACAGCTTCTCTGGGCAACTTGTGCCAGCGTCTCAACACCTTCTTCGTAATAAATTTCTTCCTTTATATAGTCTAAATCTGCCCTCTTTTAGTTTAAAACAATTAACCCTTGTCCTATCGCTGCAGGCCCTGTTTGCATTTATTCCAACTGTTTTGACTCAGGAGAAGAATAATACTCTGATTTTATTTGGACAGCATAAAGAATCAGGCTAATCATATACGCCTGTTTTGGTGTATCCAATCAAGCAAGGTGGAGGAAACATCTCAGTCCATGTTTTGGGAAGCAGGGAGGTCCCAAACCAGGGCCACTCCACAGCCTTACAGTTCAGATGAAAATTGCAGTTAGTTGAGTTTACAGATTGCTTCTCAGCTGAAATGCTGAAAGATTCAGGTTTTAAATTCTGTATCAGAAAGATCTTTTTCTGAAGACCTTGAAAATGAGGAGAATGCTGGATAATTGATAACAGACATCATTCAACCTTTATCATTCATCACCTCCAGCTGATGATATCTTATGCAGGGGCTTATGCAAAAATCTAATTTCCTCAGATTTTTTTTTTTTTAATTTAAAAATGTATCAGGAACAGATATCAGCTGAATGCTCTTGGGTTTAATTTCAGCTGATTTTAGAATTTTAGTTTTTGTGGTTATCTGTGTCCATCTTTTAAAGTGGTTGTTCTAATATTCTAATCTTGCATTTGAAACAACTTCACAAACCTACATTCCTTCCTCTTAATGAGTCCTGGAAAACAGGATATGAAGGGTTCAAAGGAAGGGCAGACAACTACTGTAAATCACAAAGCATATTCCCTCCAGAAAGTGATTATTTTAAAAACAAAACCTGATCATCATTAAGAGATGTAATTATAACAGATTGTTTAAACCCTAATGATGTTGCTCTGAGGTAATCAGTCTTTCTAATCCTATCCAGTGAAAAGAATGACATTACCTTTGCAGTATGATGAAGTCAAATGCAGCTGACAAAACAAAATAAATCAAGGAAAAGCAAGACTCTCAGTTTTCAGAGGTCTGCCATTAGAAAGGTCTACAGCTCATGTACTCTAATTTACAGTGAACAGAGAGTCTGTCTCAGAAAATACTAATTTCTACTTGTATGCAGTACCATATAAATATTATTTTTTTTACCAACCATGCAAATTCAATTATGTGACCGTGTTTTCATTCAACAAGTGAAAGCAGCAAAGCTATGTATATGGTGAAGTGATTAGAAATTCACTACTTTGAATGTCTCATTCTTTTTCATTTTCTTGTTGTTGAGGCTCTCAAGATTTATATTAATGAAGAAACAGTTTCAGGCTTTATTTTTACATTCACTATGGCTATCTTTAATCATATATGAATCAGGATTAAGAGCCCAAGCAGCTGTGTTCTCATCCTGTTGGCAGAATAATAATGACATAATAGCCTCTATGTCAAGCATTCTCAAACAATGTGTATTCTGACATTTGTTTGCAGAACTTGTTGAATATTAAATTTGCAGAATTTCAAATATGCTTTTGCAGAACATAAATGTCTAAACATAATGCATGTTAATTGTGATCTTATCTAATAAGCTCAGTTGATACTAAACTCCAAAGACATTTTGGGTTTTAATTACACTGGTGCCATTTCTTTTTTGTCTTGATCGATTAATCTCAGGACACTTTAATAACTCTTGATTCTGCAATATCCAACTGATTAAAAAAGATCTGACTCCCAAATAGAAACGTCTGCCCCAGTGGCAGTCTATTTTAAGGTTATCTGTGTTGACATGGAGTTTAAGAAAGCTCCTATCAGATGCCACATTTAATTCGTGGCATGAAAGAAATCTAGCACTTCAAACTCTAAGAGTCTCTCATCACATTTTCTTGGCAAAAATATTTGTCTTTTTTATGAGCTTGTCACATGTAGATCTTGATTTTTTGCTGACATAAGGCTTGAACATTAAGATAGGAGCTTTAATACCAGAAGAAATCAACTGGATGTTTCATTAACATTTTAAATTATAGTCCAGAGGCATATACTACAGTATGCTGCTGGAGTTAATGAAGGGTTCGGCTTCATTGCAACAGCAAACATATGCCCATATAATCTCCAGTGCTAATGACCTAAAGAGTTAGAGGGCATAGGTGCCCTAGAATTTTTTTGCCATGCTCCTGGCAAAGTAATCTGATGTACTAATGTAACATGATATAAAATCCTGGATTGGTAACTTAATCAGAACTGCTTGTCAATTAACAGCAATTGCTCCTGACCTGAGGCTCAGGGGTACAATTTGTGAGGTTCAAGACAAAGACCATCAGTGTCCTTGATATTGCACTGACTATATACGCACTGCTGTAGCTGTGATTTAAATGAAGTAGTTAAACATTTCTTTTGATATTGATTAATTTATTCCTCTGCATTATATACTGTACTGCTCTGGTTTAAGGTAAAAAAACCCAAAGGGATAGTGAATCCTCTGATCACTCCAAGGGCCATAGGTGAGTTTTGGTGGCACTGATGGCAAGCCCCAATACCCACACCACAATGAACCCAGCTGTGTTGCCCTGGAGAATCTGCAATACAGAAATATTCCTTTGAAAAAGTATAAGTAATCTTCTCTGGTTAAAATTTTTTTTCTGACTTCTATAAACAGTGGGCATAAACACTAGTTAAGATTGTTCAGACCTTCCTTAAATATCATACTCATGGCAGAAGCAAAGACCAGCCTGTTTTTCTAGGGTTACAATGCTGCTGTGTTTGAGCGTACTACATAGTAGAGAAAAATACTTGGAAGAGGTAGGAATGCCACAGACACTTCTGCACTTTGCAAAAAAAAAATTACTAAGGGACAAATAGGGAACACACGGGTTGATCATTTTGCCCAAATTCTGGTTTTTCCTATATCCTTCATCTGTTTTCTGTCATGTATGACTGTAAGCAATTTGGAGAAGAGGCTGTTTTTCTTGCTTAGCACACTTCTAGCAGACTTCAAATCCTAACACAATATGCATAACAATAACATGAACAGAAAAATCGCACTTCAGCATTGGAAATGGTTTCTACACATTTAATAAATTTAAATAGTTCTTATAAAAACCTTTCTGTTCCCGTGCATATCAGGTAAGTGTGATTTGCCTGAGGACAGAGCTAAAATAAAATAACACTGTGAGCACCTGGTCTTCTGAGTTTTCATAACTATTAATATCTGATTTTGCATGACCTCTTCATATACTGGGGATGCTCATATTTAGAAAAACTTGTGCTAAAAAGGTGCATTCCCATCCTCTTTCCATCCCTTCCAGATTGTAAGGCATAGAGAAGTAAAAGCGTACCTGTATATCCGGTTTTACAAACGCAGTTGAAGCTTCCTGGGAAGTTCTGGCAGGCGGCACCATTTTTGCACGGGTTGGAAAGGCACTCGTTGACATCCCTCTCGCATGCCATGCCAGTGAAACCCTCCGGGCAGCTGCATGAGAAGCCTCCCACCAAGTTGTGGCAAGTCCCATCATTGTGGCAGGGGGAAGGGAGGCACTCATCGATATCGGTCTCACACAGACTCCCATCGTACCCCGGCATGCACCGGCACACAAAGGGCCGGAGGGGCTCGTTGGCCACGATGATGACAGGGATGCTCTCGTGGGTCTTCAGAGCTGGGCCCACCGCCAGCCTCCTCAGGCAGCTCCCTCCATTCTGGCAGGGGCTCTGCAGGCACCAGTCGTGGTCCACAGCCTCGACCCGCACCCCGCTCTGGCGGAAGAGGACATCCTTAATGCTCTCGAAGAAGGTGGCCACGCCGCTGGGATTCACGTACTGGTTGTTGCCGCGCTTGACGGCCGCCATCAGGAAGGTGTGGTTGCTCTCCTCGTAGAGCCCATAGAGCTGGATGGCAGTGCCCAGCCCCGTCAGCTGGGAGCTGGCGATGCGCAAGAAGTGGAGGTAGTGGTTCGTCAGGAAGTCCCGCACGCTGTGGGCGCTCAGGCGAAGGAGGATGCTGTTGTCAATGGTGGTGTTGCCGAAACCCGCGAAGAAAATCCGGACGCTGCTGGTGACGGCACCATGTAACCCATCATTGCTGAGGATGGCCAGGTCAAATGTGCCATCTGTGGACCTTGCCTGTGAGTGCAGCTCACAGGTACCCCCCGGAATGCTGAAGAGGCTGGTGACTCCTGAGGTGAGGGAGCACTGGAAGCTGTCTAGCACGTCTGGATCCTGCGGCTTTACGTTGCCCAAAATTCCGCCTGGGAAGAGGTTGCCATAATAGTGAACAAAGATTTCTACCGTTCTGGGCTGAGATGGGTTGTCATTTTGGTCTATCACCTTGATATGCACAGTTCCTGTGGAAGACATCTGAGGGACACCAGAGTCTCTCGTAATCACTGATAGGTAGAAATCGCTGATTTGCTCCCTGTCGATCTCCCTCGTCGTTGTCAGAACACCAGCAGTGCTGAGGCTGAAGTAGCTGGTCGCAGGACCAGTGCTGAGCAAGTAGTACGTAAAAGGGCCTTGGTTGGGAGGGAGATCAGGGTCTGATGACTGAAGCGTCATCACAAGAGTTCCTGCACGGTTATTCTCCATGACTTCTCCTTGGCTGGTGGACAAGGTAGGGCCGTTGTCGTTGATATCTTCCAAAGTTACTAACAAAGAGGCACTTCCCGTAGCAGACGGTGTTCCCGAATCAATGGCCAGAACAGACAGGTTGTAGACAGGCAGCGTTTCTCGATCCAGCTCTGCGGTGACTGTCACCTGTCCTGTCTGTGGGTTGATGGAAAAGGCGCTGTTGTCATTGCCAGAGCCAATGAAATAGGAAAACCTGCTCCAGCTAGGGACAGAATCTGAATCAAAGGCACTAACAAACGTGACGTGGGTGCCTGGAGGAACGCCCTCGCTGATTTGTATATTGTAGGTTCCCAAGGTAAAGACTGGAGGATCGTTGGCATCCAGTATAGTGATATTAACGGTTACTTCATCTATGTCTGCACCACGAATGCTGCCCAAATTTTTTGCAAGGACTTTCAAAGAGATCCGTTCTTCTTTTTCTCTGTCAAGAGGTCCTGAAACATAGATCTGGCCACTCTTCTTATCTATCTGGAAGCCCTTCTTTCTGCTGTTGCCAAAGATAAGGTAGTGGACTTCTCCATCAGTTCCCATATCACGATCACTTGCAAAAACTTCCCCTATGACAGTACCTTTGGAGGCTGCCTCTGAAACCTCAAAATAATAAAGCTTGGACACAAAACGGGGCACATATTCATTTGTCCCTTCTAACTGGATGTTGACACTAGCAAAGCTGCACCTCTCTTCATCTGGAACATTGAAAGCCTTTACTGTTAAATGGTAACTTTGCTTTGTTTCATAATCTAAAAATCCCTGGGTGGTGATTGTTCCTGTATTGGGGCCAATGACAAAGAGGTCACTGTCTGAGGACTGAATGGCATATGCAATCACAGCATTAGGTCCAGAGTCAGCATCAGTGGCGTTTAAACAAATAACAGTTGTCCCACTGGGGGCATTCTCTAACACGTTGGGAAAGTAGTCCTCAGGGCTGAATGCTGGAGAATTATCATTCACATCAACAACATTAACAGTGACACTGCAGTAGCCTGTTCTGGACACCCATCCGCCATCTGTGGCAGTAACAACCAGCTCATGCTTTTGGCATAACTCAAAATCAAGTGGCTTTGCTAGCGTCAGTGTACCGGTAGTTGTGTTGATAGCAAAGATTCCAGCTTCATTTCCAGAGGAAATATTATATCTGACTAATCCATTCATAGCAGCATCTCTGTCTCGTGCTGAAACTGTTCTGATCACTGTTCCAACAGAGTGACTCTCTGGGACAGTAACACTCATACGGCTCTGGGAAAACTCAGGTGTATGGTAATTTTCTTCTGTTACTACTATTTCAACAGTTACCTCGGATGAGAGCGGAGGATTACCTTTGTCCTTGGCTTTCACTTTAAACAGGAAGTTTTTATTCAAGTCAGTCATTAGTGAAGATGACACAGAAATCCAGCCTGTACTCCTGTCCAGCCTGAATTTATTAGTTTTGCTCTCATCAGAGATAAAGTACTCCACCTCAGAATTCAAGCCAAAGTCCTTGTCATCCACGGCAGTAACTTTGATTAAGTTTGTTCCAACCCTCACGTTCTTAGTAACAGGAGTGAAGTATTTCCGAGCGAGGAACAGCGGCGCGTTGTCGTTGCTGTCCACTATGTTAATGGTGACAGTTGTCTCGCTCATTAATGGGGGACTGCCCCGGTCTGAAGAGGTAACGATGAAGCTGTGCCTATTGATGTTGACGTTGCTCGAACGGCTGGAGTTTTGGTACCTTAAGTACTGCTTGTTGAAAATTTCCCCCGTGGTTGCATTAATGCGGAAAAACTCGGACTGGGATTTTATGAAGTAGAAGACTTGGCCGTTTGACCCTTCATCTGGATCGGTGGCTGAAACCTGGGTGACCTTTAACCCAATTCCAGGAAGCTCCGGGCACTCCAGGTAATAGGATGGCTTTGTAAATCGTGGGGCATTGTCATTGACATCCATGACAAATATGGTGACATCCGTGCTCACCGTCCACCCAGAGTCATGCGCAGAGACCCTGATCCTGTAGCGGTCAGTGTCCTCCCTGTTCAGTGGTCTGCTGATGGTGATGTCCCCAGTGCTGGGATTTATGGTAAATGGGAGACTCGTATCCCTTATGGAGTACCTGCTGATGGCGTTCACCCCAATGTCTTCATCTGATGTTGTGACCCGGGTTACTGTAAAACCCATCGGTGCATTTTCTGGCACAGAAGCACTGAATATCTGGGAAAACCTTGGAGCATTGTCATTTTCATCTAAAATATTAATGATAACTTTGACAGTCGTGCTCTGGAGTGGAGTGCCTTTATCTGAAGCTTTTATGGTTAGTGTGTATTGAGACAGCTTCTCCCTGTCCAAGGGCCTGACACTCCTGATCTCACCCGTGGCTCGATTGATACTGAAGCTATTTTCAGTATTGCCCTCAATTATTTCATAATGTAGCTGTCCATTTAGACCACTGTCCCTGTCCACAGCAGCCACTGTCAGTATCTTCCGTGGGGACAGGTTCTCCACTATTTCTGCAATGAAGGGATCTTGCTCAAACTCTGGCGCGTTATCATTGACATCTATCACCGTTACTTCCAATTTTTTGTACGAGGAAAAGGGAGGAAAGCCCATATCTCTGGCCTCAATCCACACCACGTATTTCTGTATGGCTTCAAAATCCAAAGCCCGCCTGACAGAAAGCTGTCCTGTCACCTGGTCAACCGCAAAAGTGCTGCCCAGGTTACCACTTGCGATGTAGTAGGACAGGGAACCTCCTCTGGCTGAAGATCCAGAGACGGTGGTGACAACTGTACCAACTGCTTGGTTTTCAGGGAAGGTGAAAGTCTCCTGATCTGCCTGAACATGAGGGAATTCAGCTTTGTTCACAAACCTCACAGTGACGGTGGTAGAGTCTGTCTTGGGGTACCGGCCACCATCCCTCACGTGAACAGAAATGGTGACTTCGGACTCTCCCACCAGCGGGTTCGCAGCCAGGATCGCCCCCCTCGCTGGATCAATGTGGAACTTCTCAGAGTTTTTCCCAACAAGGGAATAATGGAGCTCAGCATTGGATCCGGCATCTGCATCGGTGACAGTCACAGCAAACACAAATGAGCCTGAAATGGAGAACAAAGTTAGGTCAGCCATTTAATGAATGCACTAATTGTGGGAAATGTGATGCCACCTTTTCCCTGGAAGCATATCCTGGAGCAGTATGTTCCTCCTAACACTGCTCCACAAATGAACTGGCTTTTTCACAAGATGGTAAGTTAAACAAGGGGCAGGTGAGTTTGTGAGTCCGCAAGAGATGCACGCAACCAAAAAATGTGGGATCGAGAAACGGGACACTGCATTCAGGCAGATGGATGTACTGAACTCAGTGACTGCACTCAAAAATGGACCTGCAACCTTTTGGAAGCCTATCATCCTACTACTTCTGGAACTACTTCTAGAAAGCCGTAAACCTACTAAGACTGAATGCTAATTTGATTTTTTTTTTATATTATTCATAGTTTATTTATCCATGTAAAGAAACCCACCAAAACTGGAATTCAAGGACTATTAAGGTTACATAAGTGAGCAGGCAGCACCCATAGACATTTATCCCACACACCCACCTTCCCCTGTAGTCCCTTCTCTTCCTATTCCCCAGGTGCTGCTCCTTTCTCCACACTAGCCTCTTACTTCTAAGGGTATTCTGAGGACAGCAACTAACAGCACTGCATTTTTAAAAGCATGCTGGCCCTCTGAGATAGAGGTAAAATAGAAATACGAAACTATTGCACACTATTACAATAACATGAATATATTCAGATGTTTCGGGTCATCTGAATTTATGCTTCACAATGAGCTTGACTACATTTGCATTAACCTCTATATTTGTCCATCCGCAGGGAGAATCCAGGGTATCCTTTCTCACTGGACTTCACAGATTTAATGCCCAGCACGCCTTTCAAATTTGACACTGTCCAACCAATTTGCAGAACACTCTGTTGATGCTTTGCTGGTACTAAAATTTAGAAATTACCCACTCCTGTATAAAAATCATGCTATTTTCAACCTCTTTAGGCAAAATCATTTACAGGCAGGAATGACTTTGACAGCATTCCTTTAAAACTACACTTCATGTCACTATTTGTCATGTGCAGTGATTTGCACTCCAGGGGCAAGAATATTTAGACAAGAACAGTATTCAAACCCATGTGAGAAATGGGATATGAAGAAATGAAGATTTGTTGCTTCTGTTACGCAAATAATATTATTAACTATTATTAATAGTTTCCCCTTTTAAACTCGATTAAAAAATTACAAGGAAATTAATCTCTTTCCTTCAAAATTTACACAAGATATTTTATGATTGGAATAAAAGCAAAAGTCTTGATCAAGTTATGAGAGTTGGCTCTTATTTTTTTCTGGAAAAGCTATTTCAGATGCTACATTCAACTCCACTAAAGATCTTGTTTGGTTTTTTAGTGGATGCCATGCCTGCTAGTTACATCATTATCAACAGCCTCTCAAAATAATATGAAAAGATATTACCTTTCCTTTTAAAAGAATAAAAAAGTGCATGCATCTCTAGATTTCTGCTAAGTTAAAAACAGAGTAAACATAGCTTAGGTTTTCTATATGTTTCTATTTATGAGAGATTTTATAAAAACGTATCCAAAAAAATATGGTCAGAAACCATCATTTCAACCTATGTGTACTCCTCATTACAAGCATTTAAAAAAACACCCCAAAAAGAAACAGACAAAGGACTGTGCCCTTGTCAGAATACACAAAGATTCACCAATGCAATAATAAAACAATTTCATAATGTTGTTCTGGAAACAGGGAAGAATTGTAAACAAAGTCACTCTTCCATAAAAAGGAAAAGTATTTGCAATTGTTTCAAATTTAGAGAGAAAACCAAGACATGGAAATAAGCCTTTTTTTTTTTTTCTTTTAAAGGAAAATTTGTTTTGTAAAACGTTTGTCTTGGAATCCTCTTTGTAGGCATCACATAGCCATGTATGTGTACGCACATGAAAACACAGCGTTGCCAACTTCCTCAGCCAACCTCTCCAACTGCAGCTGGGTGAATTCGTGGAAATAAAGTGATCTGATTATAAAATCCTTTTACTGTTTTGAGATAGTAGAGGGTCCTGGTATTAGTTCATTTTAAACCTTGGAAAAAATTCTCAAAACAGGAGATTCTTTCACTAAATTCTCTCCATCCTCCTGCAAATACACATATTCTTTCTTCTTTCCCCTTGAAATGTCAATTCAGCAAATAGAAAATAATAGTATTTTTGACTTATCCATTTCTAATGTATTTATTTATCAGGTTTGTTTAAATATAAACTAAATCAGAACTTAACTGTTGTGCTGAGTGAAGTCACGTTAATTTGCGTGTAGGCTTCACAAAAGGAAGGTTTCTGCTTGGCTTCACTTTTATTTTATTTTACCTCATCACTTGGCTCAACAGAAAGCAACATAGTTAACATCTGTGATACAGACATGGTTTTTTTAGAAGAGGTTGTCAAAATCATCTTTAAGAATGTCTCAGGGCAGAAAAAGAATATCAACACACAGAAGAGACTCCCTGAAATAAAAAGAGGCCATTGTCTACCTAACCCTGGCAAAATAATGTAATCAATTGTTAGAGCGGGTGCTCACTTACACTGTATCTCCTTTACATAACTACAGGAACATAACTGAATTTAGATGGCAGGAACACACTAAAAAAAATTGCCAAATTGTGGGTGATATATTGAGCCTTGATCTTCCTCTTTTCCTATGCAACATGAAGATAACACCAGGAAAAAACAGCTGTACAGGAACATCTCAGAAGCACTGTGGCACAACTCTGCATTTCATTAACACGTTGCCCAGAGAAGTTATGGATGCCCCATCTCTGGAAGTGTTCAAGTACAGGTTGGATGGGGCAACCTGGTCTAGAGGAAGGTGTCCCTGCCCATGGCAGGGTAGTTGGAATGAGATGATCTTCAAGCTCCCCGTCAACCCAAACCATTCTGTATTTATGCAGTCTGAAGTATCCCAAGCAGTGCCACTGATCACATTACCTGAGGTGGTAGGTGATGGGATGTGGGTGACATAAGGATGGTGCTGAAATTTGGGTGGGTTGTCATTCACATCAGCAACAGAGACGAGCACACTGGTGGAACTGGAGAGAGCCCTGGGGTAGCCCCCGTCACTCGCCACCACCACCAAAGTGTAGTTCTCCCTTGTCTCTCGATCGAGGAGGGCACTGGTGATGATTTGTCCTGTAGATGGGTTGATTGTGAATTGGGAATTGCCACCAGAAAGCCTATAGCTGTTTGAAAGGAAAAACAAGGAAGGAAAATTTGATTACTACTTCAGAGTAACCATTTTCTATATTCTTCAGACCACCATGCTGATGGGCATCAGTGGACAGCCAGATTTTCTTCTCACTGCCCATCTGTCTTCATTTTTTTACTCTTGCATATTTCAAGGCCTGTCATAAATGACATTTCTGGGGATTTCCAAGCATAGTTGCTTAACACAGATTTCTAATACATGAGTAGCTGACTAAGCCTTTTGATATTTGGAGATACCATCAGATGTATTCTCAAAACTGCCTGCTGGAGTATTGACTTCCCTGAGCTAATACAATAAGTGTTACTCCAAAAGGCTGACGTACCTTCTAGCTGAATCTGCAGCACGCAATTAGAAAAAAAAATACCATTTTCTGAAATTAAAGTATGACAGTTTTACAAAATAAAATGAGGATTTAAAATTCATATTGTTTGCTGAGACTGAGCCAAGTTTTCCTGTTCAATATTTCAATGTTAATTCATAGTAAAACATAGCAAATTACTAACAGAGCTACATGAATAGAGACTAACTGGGACAAGAATTTAACCCTTGGCTGGTGTATATGTATGTGCCCACATCCCTGAGTGTGTGCAACAGTGTGATTTGATAAGAACTGACTGTGTGCTTACTGCAGGGCTATCTCTGGCTTCCTAGCACAGTGAGTTTGTTCCTTCTCTTGGAATGCTTATCTGGTTTTTGCTCATACAGAATGAATCTCAAAGATACGGTGGAGCACTGGGCTGTATTTTTAAAGTTAATTGATCAATATTACATTTTTTATTACTTCAGATAACATATTTTTGACAAAGCAATGGAAACAAAAACTAGCTAAAGGAATAATTCTCATATTCAACATTGCAACCCAAAACAGCTGTGGTTTACATTGCTCCTTCAGAGAAGCAAAGTAGCAGCTTTTTTGAGGTATATGATTCTATGAAAGTGGCTTTAATGAAAGAGATTAATATTCCTATCTTCACCTCTTTAAAATCAGCACAGGTTATGACAGCAATAACACAGCCCAGAAGCTGTACCAAGAGGATTGAGAGCCAGCCTGTGTAATAAGCTGTGGCAACTTCTCCTGTTCAGTCATTAATCTCTGCACAATGCCACGAGCACACTTTAATTGCTTAATTATGATATAATATGATGGCCATATGTAATTATTCTCCAGCCCTAGAAATGTGCATCTAGAATGGAAAGAATGTGCACCAAGTCTAAAGCACCACTTAAATCTCCCTAAATAGCAGCACAGGCACATTTCATCTGTGACTTGCAACGATTTAAGCCTGAGTGAGGTGTTGCAGAAGACAGAGACTTTCTTTTCTGTATTTCCACATACATATAATGGCTCGAGCTTCAGCATGGGAAAGATACTATGAAAATCTTTTAAAAAAACAAAGAAATAATAAAGACACTAAATTTTTCATAAGGCATTCTGAATTATATCTGAGTATAACTACATGCAAATCAACTGGACAATGTGTGTCTCAATAAAATTAGAAAAATATCCAAACTCTACCCCAAAAAAACCAAACCAAACCAAAAACTCTCTGAAACTCTAATAGTGACAACTGGTATGAAAGCAATTTGATCCAAGTCTTTTGCCTATTTGTCTGTGCTGACTCCTCTTACCTGCACTGTCTTTAACAGGACAGTACAAGTGTGCCTTGCCATTTACAACCCCATCTCCCTCCTTTAATGACTCCACAGGTTATCACCAGAAATAAGAGAACATGGCACATATGGACAGGTAACAGATTTGCAGATTAACCATTTCTTGTAAAACAGAGCGCATTTTTTAACTTTACATGAAAATATCAGTCAAGGATTTTACACTTTCGAAAACCAAAGGTTCCATTTTGAAACACAGTCTAACAAGGCTGAAAAGGAATTCTGAGTGCTCAACACCTCTGACAAGACGACCTTATGTTCTGGTTCTTCTGGCTTTCACCAGTTTTGTAATACCAGTCATATTTTAAGATCTACTTTAAATGCTGAATCTGGACAAATTCTGTCCAAGAAAAACAAAGTCTGTTCCTGAGCCTAAAGAGTGTAAAACAAAACCTGAAAACAATTTTTTAATAGCTACTTATGAAGGGAAAAAATATTTTTATCAACTAATTCTACGATGAGGTACTGAGTGAATGACAAAGACTAATGGCACAGATATTAAAGCAATTCAACCACAGTAAAGAAATCTGAGAGCACTCTGGTAATTTCTGATTACGGGACACAATTGTTACAATCATTCATGCTTTGCATGGAACTCTTTTTTCTAAAGGAGCTGCCAGAAATAGTTTCTTAAACTAATATGGAATAAAATTAAAAGCTTTATTTTTTCACAACTAAATAAATGATAATTTTGGATGATTTTCAATATCTAAAGATGCCTAAACATCAAGGTTTTTTTTTTTTGGCTTGTAACTAGTTGGAAAGAAAATATTAGAGTATTTTATACACATTGCTTTGCCATAACATAGTTCTGTTTTATTTTACTTCCTTTCTTTAAAAAAAAGTGACAACCACGGTGGCATTCTTATGCTCTTTGAAGAATAAACTCAGGTGAACTAACAAAAAAGTAAATACAGAATCTGCTTTTATATCCTGTTTTGTAAGTTTTGAAACAGTGATGTTAGCAGCCACAACAGTTAAATGTGATAACTAATAATAACTAATACAAATCTGCTTTGCATTCCCTTTTGCAGTATATCAGTCCTTAGTGGAAAAATCTTAGGCTCGTCACTGTCACTCAGCATCTTCATTACTGCTGTCTGTGACACTGGGAATGGCCAGTGTTCAGCCCAGTGCCCAGCTAAGTTCCATCAACTGAGCTCTGCAAATCAGCTGGCATTTAGAGCAAAAATGTCAAATTCTAGCTTTTTACTGTTTTTCTGAATTTCATAAGCTTTATGCCTCACCTTGTGTAATTTTCATGTTAAACTGAAGACGTTATTTGACCAAAAATTTACTCAAGGAGCCTGTTGGTTTTTAGTGAAAATTGTTCACTACATGAAGAGGTGTGAATGCAGCAGCAAGGCACTAGTGGGTGCAGGTAGAAGTTAAACTCATTTGCTTTTCACTTAGTAAAAAATTAAAATAACCCTGCAACTCCACTTGCACTTAATATAATTCTAAAAGCCTAAACAATCAAAAGACAGATTCGTCAAAATAATTTAGTCACACATATACACCTGGTCTATTGTATCTTGCAGCTTTAAGGCACGTTGGTGTTGGACACTGAGAGAAAAAACAATATTGAGGCAAGTTATGAGGCAGGATTACACAGAGCAGCAGTAACTGACCTACCTAATAACAGCGTTTGTAGAAGCATCAGCATCCGAGGAGTTTACGAGCAAAATATCTGTCCCTGTAGGAGCATCTTCCAGAACGGTGGCAAAGTACACGTTAAAGGCGAACGTGGGGACATTGTCATTGACATCATCCACTGTGACAGCAATGGTTCCAGTGCCAGTGAGGGCAGGAGATCCTGCGGGAAAGGGGGATAAAAGTGCTAGAGGTTACAAATACCAGTATGCTAATCAAAAGGTCTGCCAGCCCTGATTTAGAGCTGAGCGCTTGAGCATGTCACAGTTCACGGAGTATGAAAGCCAGTTCACCATAGAGGACAGGGTCAGGTTTGTTTCAATGTCATCTTGACATAAAGTACCAGTTGTGAAAGATGGAAAAAAAAAAAAAAAGTTGTTATTTTTCTTGCTCCATCTAATTCCAGAAATATTTTGTAATTCAAACTCAGTGGAAAAAGATGGTCTTGGAACTGCTCAGCAGCCTTCCTGTAACAATTAGGACCGGTTTGAAGATGTGGTTGACTTTTCTATTTCTCTGCAAGAAGACCTTCAAAGGTGGCACACTGACAGACGTGAAGATTCCAGACCTCAATTTATTTCTCCGCAGAACAAATAAGAGTGGAAACTGTGGCAAAACACAGATTTCCGCATGGCTTTTCCACTGCCGGTTGCACCCCTGACCTGGGGAGACCTTCTGAGGAGAGGGTGAGAGGGTTGCACAGTCTCCAGCCCTGTTCAGACTCATTTTCTCCATAGAAGCAACCATCTATAGCAGCAAATAATGCTCGCTCCGATGGGATACTGGCTTACGGGAAATCGGACTGAACTTATTTAACCTACGGCTTTCATCCTCCTTGTTATTCTAAACTTAACTCTGATGAGCAGCAACGAGCAAGAAATAGCATGTTTATTCATGTGCAATCTCTCCGTATTTGTTCTCTTAAGCTTTTCCTTTGTCAAATCCAAAAATAAAAAGACAATGAAGAGTTTTACAAGTTCATGTTAGTTTTGTCAGTCCATTACATTTCTTTTCAGCGAAGAATCAGCAAGACATCTTCTGCTAACCAAATTCTTCACTGAGGGTCCCTGAAAAAAAAGGGATTGTTCCCTTCTTTGAATACGTGGGAAGGAGAAGGAGAAAGTGATAGCGGAGAATAAACACATGAGTTATGGCCCCTTTTTACTCAAAATACAGATGATGACCATGCCTGTTTTACCCAAAATTGCATCTCTTTCCCCTTCAATCTCAAACGGATACAATTTAACATTTGCTGGACTGGGAAAAAAGAGACAATAATGAAATGCTGTGGGCCAGATAGTGGTCGAGTCCTTGCTGTGAGGCAAACATATTACATGGAGCTGTCATTTGATGGAACGCAGGCAGCCCTGTGTGACCGCCCTCGTCCTTCCAACCCAGCAGATGATTGGGTCACTGCTATCCAAGGTTATTGCTGGACCCAACCTGAGGGCTGGGAAGGAGGCAGGCTCTGCTCTTGGGTCTCATCTGCTCCTGGCAAGGGCTCCAAACACAAAGCTCTTATATAAAAGAAGAAATAACAACCCATTTTCCTGCATGTTAACCCTTGCAGGTTGAAGAAGCACCACACTGCATTGCTGGGAAGAAGCTGGAAGCAGCTTCTGCACGGAAAGGAGGCTTTTCACCACAAAATGCTTCACAGCAACTTGGTTTAATGCACGAATGGGCTGAACGACAAAGCTTCCAATTGAAAGGTGTTACAAATATCGCCAGGCTGAATTTGAAGCCTGCTGATCAGACGGGAAAGATCACAATGCCGAGGGAAAGAGCGTGCAAGCCAAGAAGTGTAGGTTTCACATCACGGCCGCACACAATAGAGGCCTTTCTGTGCTCAAGTCTGAGGTAATTCATTCTGCCAATTAATACACTTTCAGCCAGGAGGGTTACATTAAGGCAATAAGTCTGACTCATTTCTTAGCTTTTTTTTTTTTTCCCCCTCCCCATTTTGTCATTTAGCCAAACACATATAGATAGAAAATCCTGCAGAAGTGTTCCTGATTGCTGAAATATTGCCTGTGGAGTGTTTATTATTACTGCACTAAACGAAAGAGAGTCCTCGGCGGCATTTGCTGCACGTGTCATCAAGCTCTGACCTTCCAAACACATTTTAGTGACATTCATCTCGCAGCTAACGAAATGAAAAGTTGAAAGCTGTGAAGTTTCACAGGTGATTAAACAATTTATACATAATTCAGAAATTAATCTCGGGTAGAGTCACATTCAAAGAACATCAGTAATGCCATTCAGTCTGGGAAAGAAAGCTCGCTCACAGCTAAAAGCTGAAACTCCTTGTTTCAAATGTATTTGCTACGACAAAGCCAATGCTGAAAAATTCACACTATCAATTTAGTCACAAAAATTAATGGAGGTGGCAGCAACTCCATTGGTAATCCAAGGCTGGGGTGATGGGACTGGCTCCACCACAGCTCTGCAGGCTGTCCCAGAGCTTGGGCTTGCTGCTGCACTAGCTACACTCACAGGACTGATGCAAAAAAGGGGATGGAAAGAACATGTTCACATCTGCTGGCAAAGTACCACGTGCACAGATATCAACAGCAAGATGCTGCAAGGGGTTTGTTCTTCCTCCTGCATGGCTATTGAATCTGCATTCTATTGAAACTTAATGGAAACAGCCAAAAGGGATGCCAGATGCAATAGATCCTTGTGGGCTGTAGATATTCTCCTGCTCAGGATCACACTAACACCAGCAGCTTTTGACTCAGCCAATTGACTCCCACCAGCCCTAGCCCTCTTTCCTCTTCTAGGAACCTGAATTTCAAGTGTACCAAATAATCAAACACTCCAAATGTCAAATCCCAGCCCTTGCTTCAGCCCTCTATACATTCCGTGCCCTCATTCTCCAATCCCACTTCCTCCCTGGAAGTGTCTGCTGCACCATATAGTGCAGTATGGGCATATTTGTATCAGCCTCAGAGAAGTGAATAAACCAGTCATGGTTGAGTACCATACTAACAAAATTAGCTGGGGTAACACAAGTAACCCAGATCTCATTCAACGCTAGCTTGTGGCTGCACGGTGCTCACAGAAACATCCCACAAGTCCAATATTAATTCAGCTGTTTGTAACATCCCAAGACACTGCTCTCCGGTTCAAACCCCCAAACCTTTCTCATCTTACTTAGATGGAAAAACTCATGTATTTACACTGGTTTCCTGTCTGTGTAGTTATCCAAATATGCTTTTTTTCCCCTCAAGTAAAATATCACGTCCACAAATTTACCCCTTTATTCTATTACACCAAAAGATAAAGTTGCAATTTTACAGAGTCCTCAAAGTTTTTATTCACTTGAAATTAAAAGACTAGCTCACATTTCTGCAGTTACTGAGAAATATAAGAAGAGGAAATTACAAATGAAGTAATTTCATATGGAAAAGAAATAGCTCAGCGCCAAATTCTACCATCCTTAGTGAACTTCCAGCGAAAGCTGTGCTTGTATAAGGACCACAGAATTTGGCCCTTGGTAATAAGCAGGTTTCATAAAATGTACATGTCATATTTGTGGTGAGAGAAGTAGTTTCCATGGTCAGGCTGAGTTCCCAGATTTCTTAGTTATGCTTCGATAGCAAATCTTCCCCAAGTCAGTTATCTTATTATGCTCCAGCATCATCCCTTATTTTCTTCAAAGTGCACTTAATATTTTGCATAAATAAGTGCAGTAAATTTTGTGTAAATTCTGCAATATTAGCCAAACACTCAAGATGGCCCCAAACTGTTCTTACTAAACCAGGCATGTTACAACCTATCTAAAATTGCAGTACACAGCCACACAAGCCTTTGAGTACTCTTAGAAACAGCCCCAGGACCTAAAGCCACAAAGAAACATCCAGTTTTCCCTTAGTGAGCTTGCATTAAAATTTCTATAATTTTTCATTATAGTCTGAACTATTTTTCAGAAGAAGCAGCAACTATTCCTTTGTCAGACACTCCTCATTTAGAGATTTCTCTAGTGTTATACTACTAGTAAGTTGTTTTTTTTTTTTTTTCAAATCCCAAAATACCACATCTCACAGAGGCACAGAAAAAAAAAATTCTAGAAGGATGGAGGAGTGAAAGAACCATCAAATGATGAATAACTGGAGAACATAAAGTTAACTACATGAACTAAACGGGAGAGATCAGATTGACTGTTCCTGTTCAGTGCATATCAAACCTTTAAAATTTAAGAGACTATGACATTAATACATTTTTATTATTCTGAATATGCCATCTCTGTGTGCTGTGGTCTGTTTCTATGAACTGAACAGTTTATTTTCTAGGTGACAGCTGTACATATATATTAAGCAGACGGTCCCACAAATGTCCAAATGTCATTGTTGACATAAAGATTAACCTGGGATAGTGTCAAAATAGCAACACTGAGTTCAGGAGGAAAATTGCTTCCCACGGATGTTCTTCCAAAAACTTCAGCTTTTTTGCTTACATCTGCAAGTAAACATGTGTCTGGGGATGAAGAGAAGGAGCAGACCTTGGGAGCCTGCTCCCCAGGGGCCCACGGTGGAGGGCGAACGACAGGGGGAAGGTTGTGAGAGGCCACCTTAGGCCTGGCCAGCGCTGGGCTGTGGTCCCTGTCTCTGCACAGGACACTTGAGGAAGTGACATGAAGAAGCAGAATGGGGAAGGCGGGTCAGGCAGGCAGGAGTACGGGGCAGGATCTCTCTTGTCCCAAGAAGATGGGACTGGCAAAGAACTACGAGCAGGTTTCCTACCCCATTCCCTAGTGCTTGTTTGGGGCTTATCACCACAGAAAATATGATGATATTTGTGATTTGTCAGTTTAGAAGTTATAACAAGCCCTTTCAATGTTTTTCTTTCCCTGTCCAGGAAAAGGGGGATGAAAAATAATGGCCATGTGCAGCAACAGAAGTAGAAGAAAGGAGCAAAATGCAGAAAGGTGAGAGAGAGAGAGGGAGGGAGGGAGAAATACCATTTAAACTGACAATTTGTACTTTTCAGCACCTGGATAACCAGCAAAGAGAGGACAATACACCTTTTTGGATGAACTCATCATAAGTCACTCATTCCCCTAACTGGTGCTAATGCTTCTAAGCCACAAAGTCTTCCACAAGGGATGCAAAGACTGCTTTTGCTTTCACCTTGGTCTACATATGCATCCTTGGAAGAAGG